GATTAACCAGCAGATTTGCCCCGTGTGATAACGTCCTAAGGCTGCATCGGCACTACAGAAATAATCCAGTTTGATGCCACTTTAACTGCCATGGCTCAATGCTATGGAATTCTGGGATTTGCTGTCTGTTGTGTCATCAGAGGTCTGCTGCAGAGAGGGAGTCCTCCTCATGAGGAGTTCTCCATTGCTGGGGCAAAGAGAGAGCAGAGGCTACTTCCAGCAGCTCATCCCCGCCATACTGGGTGACACCTGGGGGAGATGCCACTGCCTGAATGCATTCATGAATGAGCAACCGAAGCTGCATGCCCAAGGGTACCTCATGTGCAACTCTGATAATGCAACCTTTAACTGAGTGCAAATATCCCACATTGGGAAAAAAAAAGTCCATCTACATGTGCATAAGACACCAACAGGATTCCAGACTTGTAGGGCTAGGCACCCTTTTCTCTGCCTCAGGCAGCAAAGCAGATTAGGATTACTCTGGGCATATATTTCTATACATTGCTGGATCCACTTCTGAGCCCAGATGGCTTGAAGTGCCTGGGGCCCGCTTTGGTTGATCCATCAGCTGTGACCATTCCTGTTTATTTGGCCTAATGAAACTGTGACCTGCCTTTTGATCTATCAGTTTGAGGGTTTCATTTTGCTAGAGTTTTAGTAAATTGAAGTGTTCATGCTGTTTTCAAGTGTTTGAATTGTTTCATCGTGTTTGCAATTGATTTTATTGCTTGTGCCCAAACCTGAGATTTTCTGGTACAGGGCAGGTTATAAATACTTAAATAAGCAAGGACAATCTATTATATTTACCAACAGAACATGGCATCCTCTGATTCAAGTTTTGATCTGTGTTTAACAGCTAATATCCCCAAGTTTTAAGCATAAAACATAGTATCGTGAAGAATCATTGCATCTAAGATGAATGCTAACTCATTTTGGTCAGTTAAAGTTGTATGCTTGCAGTTCTGGATGTTGGCTGAGGCATACCCTCCAACATTTCACAGCTGAAAATTGGGATATATGAGGCCAAACAACATTAGAGTATGGGCCAGATGACAAAGGTTATTAATGAGGAAGAACACACAACTTAGGAGAGGCTGAAGCAGTTTGCTTTTGCTTGAGACTACTGAGAAAGAAGGGCAAGATTTGACCCCATCTTCTTATCTCCTTGCTGGGTCCAGTGCTACTTTTGAACTTTTACATTGGTCTGCATCAATATGAAGTAAGCTGGGAACAAAGGAGGACTGTGAGAGAAGGAGAGTGAAACTGGGACATTTGAAAAAGTGGGAGACATGAAATTTGATCAGGACTGTCCCTGCCAAATTGGATCATCATCATCATCATTTTTTTTATATCCCACCTGGGATATAACCTTGGACTCCCAAAATTGGGACTCTAGGACAGCTGAAGAATGTGAGGACACATGATAATAAATTTTAGGGAATAAAAATTGTGTTTCCTTATGTAGCCAAGCAATGTGATAGGAACACATTAATAACACCTGTTGGCAAGATAATTAGGGAACTGCAACAAGAACACTAATCATCATGCATAGTTATGCTCTAAGTAAGCCTTAAAACTTTAAAAACCTGCTTTGCATTTTGCTTTTTTCAAGGAATGTCAGTTAACGACTTGCCTCTCTGTAGGTTTATCTACCTTAGCAATAATAGAAACTCCTTCTATTGTTAGCAAATCTAATTAACACAGATAGCTTGGGGCTACCTGTCTGAACTGTTCCATTGATCTTAAGATGATCAGAGCAAGAGGAACTGTCTGAGTAACTGTGTAAGCAACAGCAGGAAAAGAAAAAGAAAAACATCCACTTCTCCACCTTGATTCTGTTGAAATGGAGTGCTGTGTTGTTTCTGAGAACGTCTTCCCTGAAGTCGCAAATTTCAGAAAGAGCACAGTTGGGGAAAGCTACTTTATTGGACTACAATAAAGTAGTCCAATAAAGCCAATTTTTCAAGCCACTAAAGCCAATGAGTACAAGGAGCACACAACCTCCTTGTTGCAACAGCTCCACCAGCTACCAATGCATTTCTGAGCTCAATTCAACGTGCTTGTGATGACCTATAAAGCCATATATGGTTGGGGTCCAATGCTGATCTTTTGGAAGTTAAGCAGGGTTGACCCTTGTTGGTATCTAGCTGGGGAGGATCTGGGGTCTTCAGGCAGGGATAGGAAGGAATCCTCTCAAAAGGCTGGTGGGCCATTCTGCCAGTACTAGGCTGGGTGGACCAGTGCTCTGACCCAGCATGGATCAGCTTCCTATGCTCTTGAATCTGAAAGAGGGAGGAAGATGACATCTTTGCCTCTGCTAATCAAAAAGTCCCAGGATTTCAGTTCTGCACAGCATAATTTAACTGCATTCCTTTCTCTGTTAAGAAGGCCTGTTTTACTTTGAGGAGAATCAGCCACTTCAAGACACATAACAACGACAGTTGCTTCCAAGATATTTTGCTGCCTAATAATGTGAAGCATAAGATACGGACCTCTTTGCAGCTTGGACAAATTAATTTTTGGAATAGAATAATCTAATCACAGAATCATAGAGATGGAAGAGAGCACAAGGCCCATCCAGTCCAACCCCTTGCCATCCAGGAATACACAATCAAAACACTCATAAAAGATAGCTATCCAGCCTCTGTTTAAAAACCACCAAAGAAGAAGACTCCACTACACTCCAAGGGAGTATTTCCCACTGTCGAACAGCTCTTACTGTCAGGATACACTCAGCTGAAAGGTAGGGTTGGCCCAAAATGTATGAGGTCTGGATCTGGCATCGACCAATCCCTCAATTGATAGATGAACCAATTTGCTTGGTCTCGGCCAAGCTTTGGGATGATAAAGGGGTAACCAGTCAATCACCCATTCGTATCTCAGGTAACCGGTTGATCGCATGTTCTCATCTCTATCCCTTATCACTAGGGGACACTGATCCAGTATTGCCCCCACAATGGCAACACCGCATGCTCTCAGCACCTCTGGGTCCCTGATGGATTCTCAATCCAGTGATCTGCAGCACCAGAAACCAACACCCAACAGATCCAAGACCTATGTTACCGCCACAGAAGGCTGGCCCTCTCCAGAGGCCGCCTTCCACCAACCCTAGTGAGCTATATCCTACCCTCAAGAGAGTCCCGAACAAAGGTCCATTCCTGGGTGGAAGTAGTCCTCAAATGCCCCCGATTTCCACCTGCCCAGTCTTTTTATAGAGTTCACCGGCAAGCTGCATTCCGCTGCTGTGGTCACTGCCCCAATACAGAATGAGTGACCCCCCAAAGTCCTTCAATGACAGCCCTTCACACTGTAAGGCCAAATGAAGCACCAACACTACCTGGAAGCATGTCAGTGGGGAGCCATCTTTATGGGTGAAGAGAAGGCCTTCCTCCTGGGGTGGGATGCCACATATCTGCATAAGATGCAAACACAACACAGGTGGCAGTCATGGAGCCTTCTTAGCACAATGGAGGATCCCCTGCCATATTGGTTGCCCTTTGACCTGTGAAGAACTAAACAGACAGTGTTTCCCACAAAAGAAACATCCCCCTTCTGGAGTGCCCACGTTGAGCTATTTGTCTTGGAAGAAGGCACAAGTTCTTCCATCCACAATGCTCCAAAGAAGGCAGTTATAAAGGCAGCTCTGAACAGGCTGGTCTTGGCCTTGAAGGTGCAGACCTGGTCAAGCTGCATGGAAAGCCTGGAGAGTACTTGAAGCAGATAGGTCTCCTGCAATCCCTACCACCTGCATGTGTCTTTTCCTATAGTTTGAACTCATTGCTCTGGATCCTATTCAGTGGAGCTGCAGCAAACAAACTTGCTCCATCCTCAACATGACATCCCTTCAGATATTTAAACAGGGCTATCATATCACTTCTTAACCTTTCTCGTCTCCAGGCTAAACATACCCATCTCCCTAAGTTGCTGCATGGTTACCAGACTCTTCACCATTTTTGTTGCCCACTTTTGAACATGTTCCAGCTTGTCAACATCCTTTTTGAACTGTGGTGAGAACTGGACACAGTATTCCAGGTGAGAC